AATTTAAAAAAAAAAGAAAATCCACAGGGATGAATTCACTTGGAATTTCTTAAGTAGAGGGAACTGAAGAACAAGTTCAAGTCTCGAGCTACAATATGAAAAATGATATGGTCAATGTCTTGAATGATCCAGGAAGCATCAAAAGAAGACTGAAGGAATACACAGAGTCATTGTACCAAAAAGAATTAGCTGACACAGAATCGTTTCAGGAAACAACATGCAATCAAGAACCAATGGTAAAAAAATGAAAAAGTTAAGCTGTTCTGAAAGCACAAGCAAAAAATAAGGCTCCAGGAATTGATGGGATAATAATTTATATATTTTAACAAACAGATACACCCCTAGATGTGCTCACATCCAGGTTAGGTTGTGCCAAGAAACCTGGGAGACAGCTACCTGGCTAATTGACTGGGAGAGATCCATATTTATTTCTATTCCAAAAAAGTTGATCCACTAAAATGTGGAAAATACCAAATTATATATCATTAACATCACATGCAAACAAAACCTTGTTGAAAACTATCCCTAAATGAATAGGAGAGTGCATCAACAGAGAATTGCCAAAAATATAAGCAGGATTTAGAAGAGGCTGTCACATTAGGGATATCAATGCTGATGTCAAATAGGCCTCAGCTGAAAGCAGAAGGTAGCAGAAGGATATCTATCCTTTATTGACTATGCAAAGGCATCTAACTGTATAGATCACAACAAATTGTGGCTAACATTGAGAAGAATGGGAATCCCAGAACATTTGATTGTACTCATGAGAAACCTATACCTAGATCAAGAAACTGTTGTCTGAACAGAACCAGGGAACTCTGCATGCTATAAAATCAAGAAAGGAGTATGTCAGTGGTGTATTGTTCCTCCACACCTTTCAATCTTTATGCCAAACAGATCACTCAAGAAACGGGACTTTATGAAGAGGAAAGCTCATCTCCAATGAGGACTTGTCGACTCGACAGCACTTAACAACAATAACAACAAACTTCACTAGAGAGTCAGCTATGTTTTGGTTCTTTTTTTAAAAAAATTTTTGTTTCTAATTTGTATATATTCCCAGAGCACTAATATGTCTAAATTAAATGAAATTAAAATGCATTAACATTAAAAATATTTGATTAAGTTTTGTCTATCTTGTCTTGGAAGTTCAGTTTGGATTTGTTGTTTTTTTTATT